AGGGAATTCTGGGAACTGAAGTCCACAAGTCTTAAAAGTGCCAAGGTAGAAACACACCCCTGATCCAAACTTTGCAATGGTTAGCAACTCATGAATTTTCAGTGAGAAACAAAAGTGAAGTATGGAGAGAGGCCATCACAGAGAAGCCCCTTCTGGAGGATTTGCTGTCCATTTCAGCACTTTGAGCAGGATCTCCTTAGCAATCAGATGAGGAACATTGGAAGTCACCCTTAGGTTTCCTGTTTTCAGGCAAGATAAGTCAACAACAACAGCGTGAATCTTGCTGCATCAAATTGGCAGAAGTATACATTGAGGAGTCCCACTAACTCTTGTATTTTGCTAATAGACTCAGCAACAGCTGTAATGTCTGCACCATGGACAAAGGTAAGGTCCACATGGGATACATTATAGAAATGTAAAATATTGTAGTTATTGAACAGGTATGTGTACATGTATGTGCATGCACACAGAGAGCTTTCCTAAATAAGGAACATAATCATGTTCCTGGTTCAGCTAGTTGAGAATAGCTGGAATTTTTGACCAGTTCCCTCCATTTACATGAGTCTAATTAGCTTGTTTTGTTGCATGTTTGCATGAAAGTTCAAGTTCAAATCTTTATTGTCAATGCACAACATGCGTACAATGAATTTGAATGAGCCTCCCTTGGTACAGCCCGCCCAACAACACGGAATACATCTCAATAAATCAATCAATAAAAAATAAATCCCTGATCCCAGATAAGTAATACTAGCTCGATACCTGTGCTTCGCTATGAAACTATGTGGTTGGGCTTAGATTTTGGGGAGGAAAATAAGGGAGGGAAATTGTGCCTCTGCCTACCAGCATCCATCATTATTCATCTGGCTAGCGTCCTGTCAGTATGTGAGAGAGTTGAGGGCTGTTTGGCAACTGAAACAATATTTGCTGTGTGAGCAAATAGGAGACAGCAAGGAGCCTGGGCGTGGCTTAGCTCAACTGTTCTGTACTAAAGCTGCTTGCTGCTATGAAACTGAAACTCCTCTCCTCTGCTTGTGTTTTGCATTTGGAACAGATTTCTTTTCAGGTGGGGAGGGGGAGTAGAACTCCTTAGCATCAGAGCATGTTAATAATGATAATAATATACGAAATACTGATGCTCTGATGGTCATCTCAAAAAATCCTTTCTTAGCGAACACCTAGAAGCCATATATCTCCTCAAGAGCTAAGGAAATGGAGTCTTTGCTGGGCCGTTCTAACCACCTGGGACATGTTATTTTTCCAAGTGAGATTTTGACTAAGGTGCACTCTCACCTTAGCCAAGATCTCACCTATATGCAGAAATGATTTTATATAAGCAATTAAAGTAAACACACACACAGGGAAATGCTTGTTTTGGCTTGCTAGGTGGCCGTATATTGCTGACTGATATTCCGCTTGCAATTCATATAAGTAATCATCTGTATATACCGGTATATAAAATAACCGATCTGAAAGATGTGATGAAGACCTTAGCAATATTAGAAGTCAAGTCATCCCTGTCTTCTCCGAGTGAAAAGGAATAGCACATGAGAGACGGAAGGCGGAGAGAAGCAAGGAGGAAAAGCAAGCTTAGATATTCCATTTTCAGGTTCTTCTTATCATGGACATGAGGGATGAAAATAGTCACAGAAGCAAGATAGAAAGCTACAGGCAAGGTAATAGAGAGAATCCAAAGCAATTTGCTTTTTAGCAGAAGTTCTGGAATAACTTCTTCTCTTTCTCCTCCTTCTCTTTCTCCTTCTTTCTCCTTCTTTCTCCTTCTCCTTCTCCTTCTCCTTCTCTTGCAAGGCCCATGGACAGATAACAATGTATTTCCTGCACATTGACAACAGAGGTTGAACCACAAGTCCAACCACAGAGGTCCAATCATGTCCGTTTGTTGTTCTGGTTCTTCACATCAACCACCTCCTCATCAGTGGCTTTTGGCAGCTCATATCTAAGGGCAGTAATTTATAACTTCACCATATTAACCTCACTCAGCAGATGAAAGCAAAGATCAGGTCAAGATAAGTTTTAAAATGAGGACAAATTGGCTCATTTTTCTCCTGGAGTATTACATTTCTGATATGGGCCATTAGAAAGCAATCACTTCAAGGCTAGAACAATAGAATTACAATAGCAAATTAAATCACTGTCTGCTATTAAAATGTGAGTATGTTTGCCCTGGTGATGTGCTATTAATGCAGATTTTGCTGAACAGATTTCAGTTACTGCTTCTTTAAATGACAGCATAATGAATTTGTTTCTTTTATCCCTACAATTCATAATATTGACAACAGAGATAGCAGTAATTCAAGCATGGTTTGGGGATATACAGCATTCATTCCAGATAGAGTTTTCGGGGGGAGGGACTTCCACTCTGTATACTGTTTCTGGGTTAAAGTGTTCTTGTAAAAAGTTCAGGCAACATTTACATATTTCATTAGTATTTAATTACATACTTTTAAGCTAATTTTCTCTCGACATGCATATTTCCCAAAAGTATTTTCTCTCAACATGTTTGAATGCCTTTTGATATTTTCTATCTATCTTTCATTCCGGGTTTTTTCTTCTTCTTTAAAGCCTAAACATTTGGAGGGAGTGGAAACTGATGAATTATTAAATTCTGATGTAGCCTTTATTCAAAAAGTTATAACAGAATTCAGTTTCTATTAGAACTCCCAAAGTTGAAATTCCATATATCATTAGGTCTATCGTTAATCAACAGTCTTTTTAGAAATACTAAAAATTATTTGAGAGTTGGTATCTTGTGTCATTCAGGGCCTGGTGCCTTTAATGTTTAAGGAGTCACACAACACAATATAAATTTTGTGTGTGTGTGTATTTGGCACACTGAAATAGATAATTGACCTACTAGAAAGCAACCAGACTAAGACAAAGAGTGAAAAATGCAGAAATCTGCACATGCCAAATTGGCAGATCCCTGTTTGCAATTTCATTGGTATGTAGCAATCATTATGCAGCTTCAGTTGATTAATGTGAATTTTAATGAGCAACTGCCTTAGGATGCTGTGCTGATTGAATTTCAAAGAAATGTCTAGGGCATGGGCTTGAGAAAGTTTTACACACACACATACACACACACACACACACACACACACAGAGAGAGAGAGAGGAGATAGATAGATAGATAGATAGATAGATAGATAGATAGATAGATAGAGATAGAGATAGAGATAGAGATAGAGATATATGTGTAATTTTATATATAAAGTATAAAGTATATACTGTACACACACACACACACACACACACACACACACACATGTATGCATGTTTAGCACTGGTTTGACATACATTTCCTCATATTTAAAGGGGAAAAATTGTTCTCTGCAGCATTTCATGAAGATGGCACTGTTAACTCACAGTGCTTTGCAAATTATCAACTCAAGAAATAGACCAACAACATTGAAAAGGGTTGTCCAATCTTATCCTGAAAACCTCTAGTGATGGAGCACCCACAACTCTGGAAGGCAAATTGTTGCATGAATTAATTGTATCATCAGGAAATTTATCTTTACTTCCAAGTTGGAGCTCCCTCTGACGAGCTTTCCGCCCTCCCACTATTTCTTGTCCTGCCCTCAGGTCCTTTGGAGAATAAGTTGGCTTTCTCTTCCCTTTGACAGACCATCAAGTATTTGAAGAAGACTATTGCGTCTCCCCCTAATCCTATTCTTCAAAACTAAACATACCTTGTTCCCTCAGTCTTTCATTATATGGTTTAACCTCCAGAGCCTTTGTCATCTTTGTTACTCTTCTCGGCAGTCTTTCTAGAGTCTGTAGAGTCTCTAAGATGAATTTGAACAAAGTCTTCTGGACTTCTAGATCTTTTCCTTTCAGTGCCCTATTGCATAGTTGTTTCCATCAAAAGCTTCACCTTCCTTAGACCTCTTTATTGCATAGAATTTGTGTAGCATAGACAATCATGTATCTGGAGTGATATAGGGCAAGGGTCTGCAACCTGCGGCTCTGGAGCCACATGCAGCTCTTTTGGCCCTCTGCTGCAACTCCCTGTCAGCTGATCCCACCCATGGCTGGCCCCTCCCCTCCTCTCCCCATCACTGCTTGCTGGCCTGAGAAGGTAAGGGGATGGAGACTCGCTCCATATTCCAGAGCAGGAGGTGACTGGGTGGGTGTGAGTGACATTGAGTTGGCCACACCCATCCAGTCACACCAGTTATTAAATTATTGGCTCCCAGTGTTTTATTTTCTGTGGGAAATGGGTCCAAATGGGTCTTTGAGCATTTAAGGTTGCAGACCCCTGGTATAGGGTCTCCTGCAGAAGATGAGATTAGGAGACCTCCAGGGTCCCTTCTATCTCTATTATTATAAGTTCTATGAATGATAGTTTGAAAAAATTAACATTAATACACATTGAACTTCCAGTTTTGATGGAAAGCATGCACGTTCGAATGGATTCAGGCACCAGTGAAAACTCAATTTGCATTGTCCACATACTTGGTTGCTTACAGCCCACCCTGAGATGTTTTAAATAAGTTTGGTGTGCATTGTTCTCTGACCAGTCATCCCTATAATTGCAGCAGTCACTGGAAAACAATGACTAAACAGAGTGGGGTAATTAAAGTTGGCTATGGAACATACTCCATTTATGTTCTTTTCTTGTTAGATGTCAACAGAACAAAAATTTCACACTTCACTAATGATATTTTACAGAAATATTAAATTATGTGGAGACTACCAAATTAGGGTAATGTTTTAAAGTAACACATAGCTTTCCTAGCTGCAACACAGTAACATTTTTCCTTTCGATGCCCTGTTGTGTAGTTGTTTCATTAAAAGCTTCACCTTCCTTGGACCTCTTCTACTCCCTTCACACAGCCTTATCTTGGCAACTTTGGGGTGGATGGGATGATATTTCCTAAAAATAGCATTATAGGAGCATTCTAACACTGGAAAGCAGGTAGGAGGTTGTATCCCATAGCTCATTGTTCAATAAATATGTAAATCTGTCAATTTATTGCTGTCCTCAGGCAGAAATGTTCCATGTATTTATGAACATTGCTCTCAGATGGATGGGGGACATAGCAAGCATTTACAGAGGGGCAAAAGAGGGTGACAAAAGACTTATTTGTTTGTTTGTATTCTTCCCTTATTTTTACAAATAACTCAAGGTGACGAACATATCCAACACAACTTCCTCCTATTTTCCCCACAACAACAATTCTGTGAGGCATCTGACAAAATGAAATCCAATGTAGAGAAAAGTAAAATCTTACACTTAGGCAAGAAAATACACATACAGGCTGGGTGAAACTGTGAGAGGGATCTTGCAGTCTTAGTAGACAACCAATTAAATATGAGCCAGCAGTATGCAGCGGCAGCCAAAAAAGCCAATGCAATCCTAAATTGCATTAACAGAGGGATTCAATCGAGATCAAGTGAGGTACTAATATAAATCTATAAAGCTTTAGTAAGACCACACCTAGAATACTGCATCCAGTTTTGGTCACCACACTATAAAAAAGATGTTGAGACTTTAGAAAGTGCAGAGAAGAGCAACCAAGAAGATTGGGGTACTGGAGGCTAAAACATACGATGAACGGTTGCAGGAACTGGGCCTGGCTAGTCTAGGGAAGAGAAGGACCAGGGGAGACAGGATAGCATCTTCCAATATTTGAGGGGCTGCTGCTGAAAGGAAGGGATCAAGTTATTTTCCAAGGCACCTGAAGGCCAGACAAGAAACAATGGATGGAAACTGAACAAGGAGAGATTCAGCCTAGAAATAAGGAAAAATCTTCTAACAGTAAGAACAATCAACCAAAGGAACAGAAGTTGCCTGTGGAAGTTGTGAGAAAGTCATCACTGAGGCTTTCAAGAAGAGATTGAACTGCCATTTGTCAGAAATGGTGTAGGGTCCCCATAATCCTTCAACATTCAGACACAAAGCTCATCCAAATAAGAATTTATTAGAGAAGTCATATTGGCACATCTGGGAAAACCTGAATCTGAGAGTTCTGGGTTTTCCCTTCCCAACTGAAAATCCAAACACAATCCCCTGAACCCATCAGTCCATCACATGGTCCAATCACCAGCCACTTCAATTGGAGACATCCCTCCAACCACTCCTTTCCCAGGTGCAGGATGGCTTGTCCTTGACTTAGAAGAAGAACGTTGTTATGTCTAATCTTCCACTTCTCTGTAAGATCCCCCCTCCCAAATTCTCAGGTACTAAAATGTGGCAGCTTGGAAGTTTCTAAGGAAATATGGCTTCCAAAGCTGACACAAGGATTCTTACGGAGATGAGGTATGAACTAGAGATACAGGTGAAGGTTTAATGTCTTTACAATCTGCACAAATGGGTGACAGAAAAAAAAATATCACAGCTAGTTTCCATGTTGTTTTTATTCCTTTGCTGTTTGCCTTTGTCGTTCATTTTTCCTTGCCAGCATGGGATTAGAAAACAGTTTAACTACCCCCATTATATTTTTCCCTCTTTACTCAATGGGTCCACTTAATCACTTTCTCTTCCACCTACAAATCTTTTTGATGTCCCAAACTGATTTTCCCTACTTTGTAAACACTCCCAGTACAAAGCAATCTTCATTATGCTTTCTCATTTCAAGTTCATTCCAGACAGATGCCTTTAACAAAATGGCATTTGGACTGTAAATGGGGAGAAAAACACGATTTCACTTGTATTCTATGCCTAAATTTCAGTCCTGGTTGCATACAATAGAAAAAGAGTTTAGGACTTGCTCTGAAAGAAGGAGCTACTGAAAATTCTTAAAGAGATGTACACGTTGCATGAGAGAAAATATGTGGGAGAGAATGGCTTAAAATAGGAATAGGGAGTAAGGCTTCCATTTTGTTATCATTACAATACTTCTTCAGTAAGAAAAAAATGTCAGTGAGATTAAGATGAGAAAAAATGCCCTTTAAAGACAAATAAAGAGTAGGGGGCAGGTGGGTTATTGAAAAATAATGGCTCGGCAATTTACAGTGACCCAAATAAGTGAATGGTATATTGAAGTTCTATAGGAAGAAAAATAGAGAGAGGGTCAAGGATAATGAATAAGATGAGTTCTGAGTAATATAGTAATAATATAATTAATATATTGCAGTATATAAAATAGATAAAAGGAGAGAGAGATGGTAGAGATAGATAGATACAGATAGATAAATAGATGATAGAGAGAGGTAGAGAGGTAGGCAAGCAGACAGACAATAAACAGATTGATAGATGATTGATGATAGATAGATAGATAGATAGATAGATAGATAGATAGATAGATGATAGATGATGGATGGATGGATGGATGGATGGATGGATGGATGGATGGATGGATGGACAAACAAATGGATAGGCAGACCGACAGACCGACAGATAGATAATAGGTAGATAATAGACAAACAGAGACAGACAGACAGACAGACAGTCTGCATATATGTACATGTATACACACAGACACACAGACACACAGACACACAGACACACACAGAGGCACACGGATATGGAAGCAATAGAATGCCACCATCTAGCAAAATCATCATCATCTGATGAATAATTGGCAACCTTGTCAAAAGAACATCTCTTGACATTCTAACATGTTCCTTCTTTCTCCTACTCCTATTTTTCTCACCCCCTACCCTTTGGCTGGAAGAGTGTGTGTGTGTGTGTGTGTGTGTGTGTGTAGTTTTTCAAGTATTAATAACAACACAAGAGAGCCACTTCAGCTATAACCCACCAGAATCAAGAAGATGCTGCCTGAAAATACTTCCCACTCTACCATGAAAAATAACATTTGTGAGGCAGAAATCAGGTAGGTGGGACATTAAATATGAGTCATTTGCAATCAGTTCTCATGCAGACAAAAAGGTAGCTGAGAATAGGATAGAGAAAACCAGCACAAATTTGTCTTGGGCCCAATTATTTTGACATCATCAATTCCCGGATGATGTCAGTTTATTATTGACTGCTATAAATTCCTATTCTTCTTCTTGATGTTCTTACTATATACTACATTGACACTGTTTCTCAGTTCATTTCCTATACTGATGTCATTGTTTTGCTGTGGCATTTAGATTTATTTTTAAAAGGGACACACCTAAGCAAAAAAGAACACCTCTAAACTCTCTGGGTAAGAAATAATATATAATGCCAAGAGTAAATCTGGAGACATGTGCTTTATTATTGTATGAGCGCTATTAAAAAGTCACAAGATGTGAAGAGGATTTTTTAAAAAAGAAAAGAAAACAAAGCTCCATAGAATGGCAACCAATTTCAATTTCTTTACAATAAAGCTAATCTCTTTTAAAATTTCAGATGATGACTATAGAGTGGCAAAGAGATGCATTCTTGCTGTCACCAAGCAATCACCCGAATTTCTGCATTCCTGCTATATTTTAAGCAATTGAAATTGGTTGCTACTCTAGAGACATTTAAAAAAAAACAAAACACCAAGGGATTTGTAGTATTTTCCCCCCAGTCCATCGTGTGCATCTCTGCATCTGTTCAGAGTTATAGTTCATGAACCATCCACAACATCTGGTGAGCCTCAGGTTAACTGCATGATATGGACGAGATTAACCATATTACGGAAAGATATATAAAATAAGCAGTCCAGAAGAAATGCTTCACATGCGATTCAAATATTAAGTATCTCTTCCCCACCCCCTCTCTCTCCTTCTCCCTCCTCCTCTTCCTCTTCCTCTCCCTTCTCTCTCTCTTCCTCCCTCCCTATCCCTCCCTCCCTCCCTCTCAATCTCAAATTGTCTTCAGCCACCCGTCGATGAAAGGCCTTTTAAAATACAACATGACAGAAATCGAAACTGAAAACAATGATTTTTGACAGTGGAAACTCTGAAATTAGCGGCTGGTTCTCGTGTGGCTTAATTGATGACACCAAAGTGAGGACGAGTAGAAATTCTAATTAAAAAAATCACTAACTCACATTTCAGCCATTTGAAGCCTTTCGTTTTTGTCAGCTTTTCAAACAACTGGTCTCCTCCAAAAATGACACCAAGCCTAGTAAGAAAATATAATTATTGTTTTAATTCCTTAAGTGAGCTACACAATTGCAAGTATTTTAGGTTTTAATTAAAACTTGAGGGGAAGGCAATAAGCTGTTGATTAAGAAAAAAAAAGTCTGTTAGAAGGATTATAAATAATTTGGAGCCCTCCCTAATTCATTGTGTCCTCTTGTAGAAAACAGAGACATCAACTGAGAGGATACATTAAAAACATTATTAAAATTATATATATATAATTCAGCTTTGTTCGGGTATTTTCCCACGTCATTGTAGTTGTGCTTTTAAAGTTGTAGCAACGTTTCGGCAGAATCTCATCTGCCATCTTCAGGCTTCTGTATAGATGAACACTATACAGATGAACACTATACAGAAGCCTGATGATGGCAGATGAGATTCTGCCGAAACGTTGCTACAACTTTAAAAGCACAACTACAATGACATGGGAAAATATCCGAACAAAGCTGAATGCCATACATGTAAGTACCCGCGAAAACTTAAGAAAA